ACCTCCCACTGTTGGCCCATTTCCACCTACTCACCTCCCCCTGTTGGTGCATTTCCACCTACTCACCTCCCACTGTTGGCCCATTTCCACCTACTCACCTCCCACTGTTGGCCCATTTCCACCTACTCACCTCCCCTTGTTGGCCCATTTATGGATTCGCTAATAACGTAACAGGGCTGTATAATGACAAACTAGTTTGTCATGATTAATCATTGAAGGTAAGTGCTCTTTGCGGTCCACAGGTGCTACAGGCTTACAACCACGTGGCGACCAGTGTTACGCTGAGCGGTCCCACCAGCTTCGCACCGCTCATACGGAGGGCTGTAGAGATTGTCAAGACGAAGCAGGTCTACCACATACTCGTCATCATCGCCGATGGACAGATGCGCATGGAGGAGCCTACCATCCAGGCAAGACCTCCTCCCCAGCAGCTGCTTTCCTCCTTCTCAGTGGGTGGCTGATGTCTTTCCCCATGACCAGTCACCTTCCTCCCCAGCAGTTAGGAAGGGAGGGTAGGGAGGTAGGGTAGGAAGAGGGTAGGGAGGGAGGGTAGAAAGGGAGGGTAGAGAGGGAGGGTAGGAGGGAGGGAGGGTAGGTAGGGAGGGTAGGAAGGGAGGGTAGGAAGGGAGGGTAGGAAGAGAGGGTAGTAGGAAGGGAAAGCAGTAGGAATCACCGGCTTCACAGTATAGTTTCCCATCAGTCTATATTAGTTCGCGGCACGGACGCAATCACAATAAATCACACCACGACATATTATATTGGTGATTCCGCCGTGATGGCACCTGCTTCATCTATTAGGGACCGGATTTGTTTATGCAAAACGCGCAGGTGGAGGAGGACTCGGTTTCCTTGTTTCACCCGCGACGGTCCAGGTTTTGTCCAGCTCCGATCTTGCCTTATTTTCCCACACGTAGTCCGTCTATACTTCTCCTTTTAACCTCCCTCCTTCCACTTTCACCCCGCCGAGCGTCTTTGCGAACCCCCTCTTTAAGGTACGAAATTACTTGTATTCCATTACATATTCTGTGTGTGCACCTCCTCCCCAGCAGTTGCCTTCCTACTTCTCAGTGGCTGATAATCTTTTCCATGACAAGAAAAGGGATACGATATTTGTGACAACAATTTAACGGCGTAATGAGACAGGGAAAAAAACTCGCACGAGACCGAGGCATTTAAACAACGAGCTAGCAGGGAGTAATGCCTTGAGAGAAATTATCCACTATAAAAGCAATTACGACGCTGCAGTAGACGGAGCGTGCGGAGGTTTTGTTACTACAAACATTGATGTGCCATGTTGACGTGTTTCAGCCCGTAAGCATCACCAGCAAAGCTTGCTCGCAACGCTCGGCCTCACCACCGACAGTACCGCCGCCTTTCGGCCAATCAGCGACCATTTCTCAAACATATACGAGGTGAGCGTAAATCAACGTAATCAGCACAAATCAGCGTAAATCAGCGTATACCAGCGTAAATGAGCGTGAATCAGCGTAGATCATCGTGGATCAGCCTATTACGCATCTGCTATATACATATTCGATCATTCACGCGACCTCATTAGTGCATGCATCTACCCCCCCCCATGGCGCGGCTAATTATACACATACATATAAGCCCGGCGGCCTCTTCACATTTCCCCTGTTTACGAACGCAGGTGAGCGCGGCGATGAAGAAGGCGGGCCTCGAATCGTGCGACCTCGTCATCGGCATCGACTTTACGGCGAGTAACGAGTGGCAGGGCCGGAAGTCGTTCAACGGCGACAGTCTGCACGTCATCACGGGCACGAGGCCGCACAACCCCTACCAGCGAGTCATCGCAATCCTCGGCGAAACACTCGAACCGTTCGCGGGCAAGAAGCGCCTCATCCCAGCGTTTGGCTTCGGCGACGTGATGACGCAGGATCACAGCATCTTTCCGCTGAAAGATGACGGCGCGCCGTGCTGCGGCTTCAACGAGGTATCGATCGATCAGCCGATTAACGCGGTCCGTCGTGCCCGATATTGATCTGCGATTTCTTAACGGTGCGGTGGCGTGGGCCGTGAATATCCCCGCATGAAGTGAGGTTCGTTGCTAGCAGAAATTATATTACTGCTGGTGTTCGAATATCAATTTAGCAATGTCACGGCTCGTCGGGTAACGCGCGCGTTAATTTGTAGTGTGTGTGTGTGTGTGTGTGTGTGTGTGTGTGTGTGTGTGTGTGTGTGTGTGTGTGTGTGTGTGTGTGTGTGTGTGTGTGTGTGTGTGTGTGTGTGTGTGTGTGTGTGTGTGTGTGTGTGTGTGTGTGTGTGTGTGTGTGTG